TGTTGTTTTCTGAAGAGATCTTATCTTTGCACTTGCGCGTCACGTGACCTGTTTTAAACATTGGAATTCACACACGCGTACACAACGCACGCAACGCACACACACACAACACACACACAAAACAAATACACCACACACAAATGCATGCGCGCGCGAGAGACAAAAATCGGCAACTATCCATTTTTACCTCCGCAAGGTTGTTTTTTGGTATCGTTGGTTCGTTTGTTCGCTTGTTGGTCGGTTGGTTAGCAGGAGAACTCAATGAGTTACAAGATTCTATAATCTTTTCTTGCCAACGTAGAGGCCATTAAACATTGCTGGCGATCCGGATCCAGGATTTAAAAAAGACTCATTGGCATTGCGAGATTGGACAACTTTATTCTGTTTGGCGCTTAAATTAAAATTATTATTATTATTATTATTATTATATTATTATTATTATTATTATTATTATTAATTGTGATATCATTATTATTATCATTATCCGTTACTATTATTACCATCATCATTATTAATGTAAATTTCAAGAGTGAATATCAACTGCATCAGTGGCCTCACTGCCTTGACGCTCTCTGAGAACTTCTAGTTTAGTTCGCATATTTTTTTCTAATATACCTTCTTTCTGTACAAAAATAACGCAAACCAAAAATCGAACATTTCGCACACACTCACGTACGCAAACAATCAATGGCGCCTTTTCATCATGCTTTTGTGGGTTCAATGCACCGTAATGCATTTTCGTCATTATTATAATCATTTTAAAGCCACGGAAAGCACCATCCCGACCAGCTTTTGAAACCTGACCGAGCTTAAAGACGAAAATCATCAAAGGGAAAATTAAATAAAAAGAAGAAAGTGCTATTGGAAACTTCAATATAAGCCTTTACGCTACCGCAAAAAATCGTAAACAATAAGGCTTAGATCTTTCCTTTGTAAAAAGAGTTAACAAACCCAACACCAACCATTCAACTCGCGGAAGAAAAGAGACACGCCAGAAAATGGGATTTGAGGGGAAGCTCATCTGTTTCTTTAATACATAAAAGCAGAGACCAAAAGGAATTCACGTAAATAACATCAGTATAACGGAAAACCAAATCATGCAGAAGGATGCCGCAAAGGTAATTATACTAGATATAGAGATACTGACTCATCATCTATGAAGCAGACGCAGGGGGTAGAGTGAGTGAATGAGTGAGTGAGTGCGTGAGAGAGAGAGTGAGAGTGAGAGTGAGAGTGAGAGTGAGCGTGAGCGTGAGAGTGAGAGAGAGAGAGAGAGAGAGAGAGAGAGAGAGAGAGAGAGAGAGAGAGAGAGAGAGGAGAGAGAGAGAGAGAGAGAGAGAGAAGACGAGAGAGAGAGAGAGAGAGAGAGAGAGAGGGAGAGAGACGAGAGAGGGGGGGGCAAAGTAAAAGAAAACTGCAGAAACAAAATAATAGCAAAATGGGAAGAAAAAAAATGAACCAAAAAACAAACAGAAAAGAGAAAATCACCACAAACCCCCCCCCCCTCTCCTTCTTCAAAAGACGAGTACAAAGACCACCCTCCCCCCTTTCCGTCGCACGCAGCTTCGTCGCCAAGGTAACGCTGCGACCTTTACAATAGGACTTTTTATCCTTTTCTCTCTCTTTCTCTCCTGGCTTTCCTCCCCCTTTCTCTCTGCTTTATTTCCCTTTATTACTTCCCCCCTCCCTCTTCTCCTCTGAACTTACATCCCCCTCTGCTGATCCTCCCTTTCTCTCTCTGCCTCTTTCTCTCTTTTTGTTTATCTCTTTTTCTCTCTCTGCCCACACATCTCCCTTTCCCTTTTTCTCCTTTCTCTCTCTCCTTTCATCTATCGTGTCCCCATTTCCTTCCTCCCCATTGTCAATAATTTCACTCCTCTTTACTCATTTCTCCCGATACTTCACTTTCTCCTCTCTTTCCTTGCCACAGGATTCTCAATATCTCCCCCCCCCATCCCTTCATTCTCATTCTGTCTGTCCGTCTGTCCTCTCGCTCTCTCCCTCTCCCTCTCCCTCTCCCACCCTCACCCTCCCCGCTGCTCCCTTTGTCATTAGTTCCTCATGACACGAGAATTCGGGCCCCTTTATTTTCTCTTCCTTCCTCACCTGTTTATGCTGCCGTTTATATTACTTCTGTGTATCAAGAATAGGCCTGTTTTCTCTATGCCTGTGACCTTATTTAACCTTAACCTAAACTCAGTCATGCCAGCAAACTGCACAATCATCTGCGGTTTCTAGATTCGTTTTTATTCATTACTTAAAAATTACACCCGCTACTTCTCATTCTCTCTTCCGGTATTTTAATCATCCACTGTGTCTATTCTATTATCCACTTTTTTTTGTCGTTTTATCCTTTCCTTACTCCAAATCGATTTTCTCGGTCTTTTTCTTTTCTAGTTATCGTATAAACTTTTCACTAACCTTATCTACATGATGATGAAATGTTATATTAAAAATAAAATTTACAAAATAAGAAAAGAGAAAAACGTAAGATAAAACTTGAGGAAAACAAAAACGACAAAAAAAATACGACGATAAGATTACTTCAAATTGGGGAAGATAAGCCATAAAACCCCGCAATAGTAAAATGTGTAGCATTAAAAGGAATGAGACGAGGGGATAACTCTAAATGCGTGGCTTCTGCGCGTTCCCGGCGGGCGCAGAGAGCCTCATCGCGAGCAGCAGGACCTAAAAAGGCCCCGTCTGTCTAGCTTTACATCAATCACTTGCCGCCTCCCTCCTACTCCCTTCTCTGCCGCCTCTCTCTCTCCTTTTTCGTCCTTTCTTGTCTTTCTGCCTGCCCTCTCTCTCTCCTTCTGTCCTTCTCTTGTCCTCTGGCTGCCTCCTCTCCTTCTTCCTCTCCTCGTCACTTCCTCTGTTGTCATCTTCTTCCTCTCCCTTTCCGCTCTTGCTTCCTCTGTCTGCCTCTCCTTCTCTTATTCTGTGTGCCTCCCTCTTCCCTTTCTTCTCTCTTTCCTCTGTCTGCCTCCCTTGTCTCTCTGTCCCTTACTCTCTCCTCTTCTCGGTATGCCTCCATCTCCCTTTCTCAGTGCCTCATCTCACTCTCTCTTCTCTGCCTGTCTCCCTCACCCTCTCCCTCTCCTCGCTTCCTTTTTTCTACCTCTCTTTCCCTTTCCGTTCTCTCCTCTGTCTGCCTCACTCTTCTCCCCCTTTTCCTTTCTATTTCTCTGTATTCCTTCCCTCTCCCTTTCCTCTATCTTCCTCAATCCTCTCGCACACCCCTTCAATTTTTACTTCCACTGTCTGTCTTCCTCTCTCTTGCTTTTCCTTCTTCTCTTCCTCTATCAGCCTCCCCTTCTCTCTTTCTACCAACTTGTTCTGTTTGTATATACCGATACATCATCCCCTATATAATATACATTTTGTCATTGCATCTCTCTCATTCCCATTTTTTTTCTTGATCTTCTACCTCCTATCCCCCTCTACCCTTACTCCTTCTCTCTTCCTCTCGATTCGTTTCTTCCTCTTCCTCAGAGCCTAATCCCTATCCCCCTCCTCTCCAGTCAGGCTTGCTAGTGATCCCCAACACAATCCTTGGGACTTAGGGAGTCTTTGAGACTATTATTACGGAACCGAAGGGCGCGCGCGTGTTCGGGCTGGGGGGCTGAGCAGTGGGCTGCGGGCTAAGGCTGGGGGTTGGGAAGCTGGGGGGGGGGGGGGGGTTAGGGGGCTGATTCCGGGGGCTGGGGTAGTGGGGATTGGGAGTGGCGGGGTGGGGTAAGTTGGAATATGTGTACTTGAAGGAAAGGAATGATTTTCCTTTTTAAGGGTAAGTGAAGAATAGGAGAGAGAGAGAGGGGGGGGGGAGGAGAAAGAGAAAGAGAATGAGAGAGTAAGAGTGAGTGAGTGAGTGAGAGAGAGGAAGAGAGAGAGAGAGTGAGTGAGAGAGGAAGAGAGAGAGAGAGAGAGAGAGAGAGAGGAAGACAGAGAGGAAGAGAGAGAGAGAGGAGGAAAGAGAGAGAGAGAGAGAGAGAGTAAGAGTGAGTGAGTGAGTGAGAGAGAGGAAGAGAGAGAGAGAGAGTTGAGTGAGAGAGAGGAAAGAGAGAGAGAAGAGAGAGACAGAGAGGAAGAAGAGAGGAGATGAGAGAGAGAGAGAGAGAGAGAGAGAGAGAGAGAGGAGAGAGAGAGAGAGAGAGAGCGAGAGAGAGAGAGAGAGAGAGAGAGAGAGAGGAAGAGAGAGAGAGAGAGAGGAAGAGAGAGAGAGAGAGAGGAAGAGAGAGAGAGAGAGAGGTAAGCAGAGAGAGAGAGAGAGGCAAGAGAGGAGCAGAAGAGAGGAAGAGAGGAGAGAGAGAGAGGAAGAGGAGAGAGACGAGAGAGAGCTAAGAGAGAGAGAGAGAGAGAGGGCAAAGAGAGAGAGAGAGAGGAAGAGAGAGAGAGAGAGAGAGAGAGAGAGAGAGAGAGAGAGAGAGAGAGAGAGAGAGGAGAGAGAGAGAGAGAGCGAGAGAGAGTAGAGGAGAGAGGAAGAGAGAGATAGAGAGAGAGAGAGAGAGAGAAGAGAGAGAGAGAGAGAGAGAGAGAGAGAGAGAGAGAAGAGAAGAGCAGAGAGAGCAGAGAGAGAGAGAGAGAGAGAAGAGAGAGAGAGAGAGAGAGAGAGAGAGAGAGAGAGAGAGAGAGGAGAGAGAGAGAGAGAGAGAGAGAGAGAAGAACAGAAGAATAGAAAGACAGAAAGAAAGAAAGAAGAAAGAAAGAAAGAAAGAAAGAGAGGAGAGAGAGAGAGAGAGGAAGAGAGAGAGAGAGAGAGAGAGAGAGAGAGAGAGAGAGAGGAGAGAGAGAGAGAGAGAGAGAGAGAGAGAGAGAGAGCAGAGAGAGAGAGAGAGAGACAGAGAGAGAAGAGAGAGAACAGAGAGAGAGACAGAGAGAGACGAAGAGAGAAGAGAGAGAGAGACAGAGAGAGACAGAGAGAGACAGAAGACAGGAGACAGAGGACAGACAGACAGACAGACAGAGACAGAGCGCATTTAAGAATAGGCCAAACTTGC